CACACACACACACACACACACACACACACACACACACACACACACACAGAGTTTTGAAAGGGGATATCTTCTATTGTGGGCCATAGCCACTCAGTAGGAAGAACCATGAGTAAGTTTTGGCTGAGTGATGCTATTTACTTGTAATGACACATGCGACCAGCGTGGGTTTATTAGATGTTTAGAGGTAATGTTTACAGTCTATCCAGTGTTTCTTTTCTTGATGGGCAGAGGTAGAGGGAAGAAGCTATTTCTCACAGGAGGTGGCACAGTTATGAGGACGGATTTCTTCTTAATTTGGGGATTTCCAAATGTCATTTTGAAACTGAAAAACATATACAACTAAAAGACTGAAGACATATTTTTGATGCTTTCCTTATGTTCTTGGTTTTAAGTTTTGACTGAGAAAAAAAAAAGCTCTTATTCTATAAGAATCCTGGACAGAGAAAACACAATTTCCTTTATAGATCTGAGACTTGTAAAGTCATTTTTCCTGTTTCTGTAAGTCCTATTATGATATTATATGCTAACCTCCTGAAATCTTTTAATATTTAAACATTTGCTAAGCGGCCAGACTCTGAAACAAATTTTACAGAAATACTAATTTCTCTTTTTTAAAATATTAAAAGTTAGATCATGAATATTTAAAAACTTATTTCTCCACAACATTGGATTGGTCTTTTAGATAAATACAGCTTGGAACCAGGATGACCACAATGAATATTAAATCCGACAATGCTTCCAGTCTTGATTACAAGCATCCTTTTCTGACAAATGATTTCTTTTCTCTGGAAATAGGGCAAACATGGGTAAGATTAATAATGCAAAAAAGAATAATTCTTTGTTCAGAAGATTTGGTAATAGATGCCAATGAAAACAGAGGTCCCAAAGTGAACCGGAATCACCTCTAACACATCGTGGATGGGAAAGTAGGCTGCTGGGACACAGTTTCAGTCAGAAGAAACTAGAAAAGCATGTGGGCCATAAAGCAAAAGCATATGTACATTGTCAATAGCGGCACCTGCTCCGTTACCGTCTATCTCAGGGCAGAGATTTCCGCTCAGCCCCTAGATGGCAATACTATCAAACACTTCCCGTAACGTGAGTACTTAGTGATTAACAACCGGCTGCTCTGTCTCCTAGCATACTCCTGGCAACCAGTAAAAAAAAAAAAAACAAAAAGCAGAACTGATTTCATTATAGATTCTTTTAATAAACATTTATGGCTCAGATCCTTGAGAGACAAAGTATTCAAAATCCCCCTGCCTCAAAGCCTCTGCTGTCCGAATGTAGAAACATGGCCTGTGCATTTCAAAGTTCAAGCCCTGCCTTCCCGCACAGATGTTTGAAGGTGTGGCCCTGCAAAGGGTGACTTTAATGGCATTTTCCTTTATCTGGCCCACAGTTACCTTAGCATACATAATCACACTTTACTGGAGAACAGTTCTCTTGTTACTTTAGTATTTCTAAAGAGCCCTCCACCCCCTGGCCCACAGGCATACATTCTGCCTTGTGTCTTTTCCAGGTTCTACATTCTCCTCCTCCCAACTTATCTTCTTCTCCTCTGAATATTTTCAACTTGGCATGTTTCACTCTTTCCTCATTTGTTTTCATTATTGTATTCTCTCCCACTTCACCCTCCTATTGTGTTACTTTGATTGTTTAACTTTCGGTCTTTGTTGTTTGACACAGTCTCTCACATGTCCCAAGTTGGCTTTGGATTTGCTGTGTCACAGAGAATGACCTTGAACTTTAAATTCTGTGGGCACCTCGAAGGTGTGAGTGATGGGGTCACCAGCACGGCCCTTGCGCTTGGCTGTGTGCAGTGCAGGGTTGGAATGGAGACTTCCTGGGTGCCAGGCAAGCATTCTACCATTGGAGTGACAACCCTCCCCAGCTGGTTTGGGCTATTTTGTATCACTCACCTCTTGTTATCAAATCTTCTCACTTCCCTTTTTCTTAGTTCATCTTGTCCACACCGGTAACCTTTCCACGCATTTTAGTCTAGGAGTATATCTGCTTCTGTTACACAGCAGATAAAGAGAGTAACCCAGTAAACGAAGTGTGAGGAGATTTCTGCTGCAGCTAACCCCAATCTGCACCTCTCCTTCTGACAGTTCCGGTGAGAGTCAGCCTCTCTTGCTTTTTAAAATTTATATGCAGACATGTCAGAGCTGGGATACAAATCAGTGCATCGCTTATGAGACATGAAGACAGGGCTCTCTGGAATGCTCGGCCAGTTGAGGTTCTGATGGCAATTTGAACTACATTTTAACCTCTCAACTCCGCTCCTGGGGACACATGAAACTACTTGGAGTCCTCAGCAGTTTGACAATTTTACACCATCTCCTCTGATTATTTTTGACGACTTGAAGTGCCCCAAAGCTGGCCAAGGGGTCAATAGGTTTATGTAGGTTGAAAATGATCAAAAATTACCATTGATCTGCAGCTGTCAATAAAAGGCTGCATGGGGATAGTTCCTGCACAAATGTTTAAACTGCAGAAAGCTACCTAACTTAGTCACCTTTGAGTCTATTGATCTGATGATCCAGCAGTTTCCAGAGCTTTCCCTCCGGTCTTTGTGGTGCATTTCCACTAAGCCCGTCTACTGCAGCCCTTAGGAAGCTTCTTCACGCTGCTCCCAGTAACGGATCCAATGTGGTGAGACTTGGGGGCTGCTGTGCCCATCAAGGAGCATTATGTGCGCTTACTACAATCTGGAAAAGGGTTAATCTTCGTGGGCGCCATTCACTTCATCCCAAGTCAATAGGATTTCTTCTGTCTTTGCCTTTTATTTGCTTTTCCCACTTTCCTTGGCCCCTTCTCCTAAAATGAATCGGTTCTGGCTTATCCATGCTGGCCAGCTGAGGGGTTTGCTTTACCCCCCCCCCCCAGAACGCAGAGAATCAGTGACTTTGAAAGGGCTGGGGAGAGAGCTCTGTTGGAAGTGTGTGCCGGGTCAGCATGGGGGCCTGAGTTCAACACCAGCGCCACATGAGATTGCTGCACGTGGCGGGGCATGTGGGCCTTCCCAGTGTCAGGGAGGTGGCGATGGGAGGGTCGAATCCGTCAGCTCCGGGCCAGCGACGAGAGCCTGCCTGGGAAACAGTGAAGCGCTATCCAAGCAGACACCCTGTATCGAGCTCTGGCTTTCACACACATGATCACACATGAACACGTGCAGTGCACACAGTTACCATTTGCATAAAGAGGGCTTCAGACCAGCCCAAGCACGCTGACCTCACAGATTCTTTCTCAGCCACATTTTGCGTTCTCCCCATGACGAAATGAAGGAAAAGCTACGGATGGGAGGTGGAAGACAAGTAAAGATTGAGAAGCCATCCAGGCTCTCCCGTCCAGGCTCCTGCGTACCATCTCCTCAAGCCTTGGTTTAGAGAGCTTCCATCATCTGGGTGTCTTTTTTCGTTTTCTATGTTAACAAAATATCTTTCCAGTCTTCTTAAGCCTAGACAATCTGACTTGTGGGTGGGTTCTGTGGGGTCTTCCTTTTTTTCCTTTCTTCTTTTCCATTTAGAAAAGTAACATTTGAGTTCCTCAAAGGCTTTTCAGCATATTTGTTTTCAGTGTTTATTTTGCAAACATCAAATCAGTCTTAAGAAATTACGTCTTTACTACCCATTGGCAACATCTCAACCTTGGATAACTAAACCAATGGAAAACCAAGCTAAGGGTCCCATGAATGAAATGTGGTAACTGTATCAGAAACTTTCTATTGATTCCACATGCACATTAACTTCCCGGCTGCCTTCTCTGCCCATGGAGCTCGATGCTGCCAGGAGAAGACATTTATGGGTGTTGACCCCCCAGCATGCAGAACTGTTGTCAATCAA